TTTATGCCCACAGAAGACTCTCAATTGAAAAGGAGAAGAAAATGGATGGATGGATGAATGAATTTTTAAAATAGATTTTTCTTTGCTCTGTTCACAGAAACACCAAACATTGTGTCAATATATCCACTGAATCAAAGTCAAATGATGGAGGAACAAGTACACATAGTGCCTTACAATAAAGACACGAGAACACAGTACTGGTTACGGTGTGACATCATAAATGTTGCTCCTGTTCAACATCTGACTGTGAGATGGTACAAAAATAATAAAACCATCCAGACAGAGTCTTTCAATGACACAACAACTAAAACACTGGTGAATGAGTCCTCTATTCTGAGAATTGACATCAGCAGAGAAGAAAAAGCCACTGAGTTCAGATGTGAAGCTGAGCTGGACTTTGGACCACATGGACTAAAACTTCCTGCCACTTCTCAAACACACAGAGTTTCAGCCCACTGTGAGTAAAAATGCTGAGGTTAACACATAAACAGAAGATTATTTAATTGTATTTTTAGACTAGATTAAACAAAAGTTCTATTCATTACAGCTTTCTATTATGTAAATGTGAAAATGATAAGAAAAACTGTCTCTTCAGATGCTCCTGAGATCAACACAAGTTGTACTGTTGACATCTCACCACTTGAGGGCACTAACATCACATTGAGCTGTGAAGCTGTTGGAAACCCTCCTCCTGTGTATAACTGGACTTGTGATGGGGAAAACATGTTGGAGAACACAAACAGTCTCAATATTATGCGAATCAATCGCAATAAAACCTGCACCTGCACAGCTACCAATTATCTGGGAAACATATCTAAAACAATCAATGTTCATATTACACCAAGAGGTACACATCTATTATTATTATTTAGTTGTTATTTATTTCTTAAATTTATTTGATCTCTAATGTTGTGGGTGTTATTACGGGATATAGTTGGCTTATTTTTGATTTGATAACAAATTATGTCTAACTGAAGGTATTGTGAATGGCAGGTTGTCCTCTAACTCTGGCACCGTCTGAAATGGTTGTGAGATTTGGAGATCCAGTTTCAATCAAATGCAGCACATCAGCCACAGATGTTGCTGAAATGGCCTGGATGACTCCTGCTGGAGACAAAGAATTTAAACCTGGTTCTGATGTCACTTGGATGGTTAAAAACCTGAAATGGTGGACTCCAAGTCCTTTCTGCAGCATCACTTTAAATGACGATTTTCAGTGTTCTGTGAGCCCAGTCATCATTGTTTATAGTAAGTACATTTATCAAGACTGCATTATTGTACTAGAAATTAAAATGAAACAGGCTATGATGTAAAATATTTTTATTTATTTATTTTTGTATAACAAAGGAATAATTTCAGTTTGCTGAAACTGCCACTTTGAAGACGATGTTGTCGAGTAACCTGCTGTAGCTCTGATCCAAATGTTGTACTTTCATGTAGAACTGTGAAGAAGACTGTTAGTGGCAAGAAAAACCCAACCTTTTAATATCAATGCATTTATGCATTCATTCTTCTCATATTGATGCTAACAAGCGCATCTATTTGTCATATGTTCTAAATGTATTTTTTACTTTGCTTCATTTGCAGAAACCCCAGAGACCGTGTCAATCTCTGAAATGAATCATGGTCTGATGTTGAAGCACAAAGAGGACAAGAAGTACACCAAGACACAATACAAACTGCAGTGTGGCATCATCAATGTTGCTCCTGTTCAGTATCTCACTATTACTTGGTATAAAAACAATAAAATCATCCAGACAGAATCTTTCAGTGACACAACCAAAACACCAGTAAATGAGTCCTCTATTCTGAGAGTTGACATCAGCAAAGAAGAAAAAGTCGTTGTGTTCAGATGTGAGGCCAAGCTGGACTTTGGACCACATGGACCAAAACTTCCCGCTATTTCTCAAACACACAATGTTTCAGCCCACTGTGAGTAAACATCCTGCTGTTTACCCAAAAACTGAATATTTCTTGGATTTTTTCATTTCTAAACTGAATTTAACAATGTGAAAATAAGGCGTGCAACATGTAATTATTTAAATGAATAACAAACATCTTTTTGTCTCTTCAGATGCTCCAGAGGTAAACACAAAAGATAGTAATCATGACTATCTACTTGAAGGTTCTAATATCACCTTGAGCTGTGAAGCTGAGGGAAACCCTCCTTCTGTCTATAACTGGACTTGTGATGGGGAGAATATGTTGGCGAACACAAACAGTCTCAATATAACTCGAGTAAATCGCACTAAAACCTGCACTTGCACAGCTGCCAATTATCTGGGAAGCGTAACCAAGACGATCAATGTTCATGTTGAGCCAAGAGGTACACGTCTTTGTTTATTTCAAGCCTAATATTGCTGTGGGACATTTAGAGGACACTGCTGACTAAAGAGAAGTGTTAGCTGATGTTTAAATTGATCAATGTACTTTATGAAGTTTTGAGAAGTAAACTTTGGTTTTATTTATTTTTTTTATCTTACAGGTAAAACCAATGAAATCACTTTTGCAGTCATTTGGGCTTTGCCATTTGTAGCAGCCATCATCATCTTCATCTTCATTGTGTTCTACTGTCGCAATCAGTGGAAAAAACATGGACATTATAGTTTTGTTTCTGACAAAGATATCCCTTTGACACAAACTAATGGAAACAAATAAGATATCTGCTGCTTTCTGTAAATCGAAGCAAAAACTTAATTTTATGTGCTACCTAATTATTTTTCTTTCATTAAAAAAGAACTTCTACACCCATTTCATACCCTTGTATAAAAAATTCCAAGTTTCACATTCCTGGAAATGTGGGCCCACCCACTTCAACAATGGATCCATGCTGATGGACTTTTAAAAAAAGTTTTATTTTCTATTACTTCTATTACTTTTCTATTAATTAAATAAATATTAAAAAATAATAAAATTATGTCATGTGTTTTCCTTTCTTAAAAAACAAGTAATCAAAAGATAAATAAAAAATAATAAGTTATCACAAGCAAAGTCTGACTACAGAGGCAGTTTCACATTGACTGTTAAATCTGAAATCGCATGTAAGGGTTCAGAGATTTCTCAGGCACTGGAGAATAAAACTTAGAAACTTAACACATAATGTAAGGAAATTTGAGTTTAATAATTTTTTTGTTATAACAATGTTTTTTTTTTGGTTTTTTTTGCAACAAATCTTACACTGTTGGAAATAAAAAACATACATAGAGACAAGAGCCTGGCACCGCTTCCTTATCCTGGTCACCTGCTTTTCATACACTGCTATGGGATGTTATCCCATTCATCAAACAGCAAGCCACTTTAACAATGGGCCCATGTGATGGCTTTTTCTAGGTTTTATTTTCAATTTCAATTTTCAATTCAAAAATAAACATTTAAACAGGACAAAATATGTTTAACTTTCTGTAAAAAAGTAAAAGGCAGCATTCATTGAGTTATCATAAGCAAATCCTGACTCAACAGACATTCACTAATACTTGAGCCCTGGCCCTATGACACGTATACACATATTATGTATCTAGTTTTTGATTATTGATATTAATATATTTTTTTTCCTTTTATTTGACTTCATAAAGTTGTTGTTGGCTTATGACAGTTTACTTGCACTAAAGTGAACTAAAGTGGTCCTTACAAACAAGGTCTTGAGAAATCAGGTTCCATATTATCTTAATGACCTTGTAGTACCATATCACCCCATTAGAGCACTTTGCTCTCACACTGCAGGCCTACTTGTTGTTCCCAGAGTATTTAAAAGTAGAATGGGAGACAGAGCCTTCAGTTTTCAGGCTGCGGGTGGAACCAGCTTCCAGTTTGGATTCGGGAGACAGACACTATTTCTACTTTTAAGATTAGGCTTCAAACTTTCCTTTTTGCTAAAGCATATAGTTAGAGCTGAATCAACTGACTAAGCAACAACCAGAACTCCTGAAAAAAGAACAGAAATCAAAACCTAATAAAATCCTGTACAGGATCATAACAAACTCATACACCATTGAGGTACTTAAGTGGAGTTTCAACTTATGTAAATAGTCTAAACATGAAACATGAATCATGATTTGCATCTGCAAAGCGTGAAATGGACACGGTGGACTGGGATGTCATTACACATTTTGCTGTGATAGTGGGTTGTGGTAGGACATGCCTAGAATGGCCAGGAGGCATCCTGATTTAATGCCTGAACCACTCCAACTGGCTCTTTCAATTTGGAGAAGAAGTAGCAGCTCTATTCTGAGCCCCTACCAAATGCCCAAATTCCTCGCAGTATCTCCAATGGAGAGGCCAGCCCCCTTTTGGAGGATTTAATCTTTGCCACTTGGATCCATAGTCTCATTTTCTGAGTCACTACCTAGGACATGTAAGATTGTAAACTGACCAGTACATCTTTGCCTTCACACTCCACACAACAGAGTAGTACAAAATCAGCATCAACGCAGATATTGTACCAATCTGTTTGCTCTTGAGATCTTGAGACTCTTAAGCGTCTCCCAGTCACTTCAAACTTGGCTGCAAACTGTGCCAGTGCAATCTGGAGGTCATTGCTCAATAAAAGCCAACTACCCTAGCTTTTAAAATCAAATTATATCATATCTGCCACTGAAGTCAAGTTGGACAACAAGTTATGGATTATTGATAACATGGTAACTATACAGTTATAACAGCTGCAACTGAAACTTGATATGGTTGGGTCTATAAAGTTTTGGACAATCAAACATTTAAACTCAATTAAAATGTAACTGAAGTGCAGATTTTCAGCTTTATTAAAGGGGTTTAACAAAAATAATTGTGATTTTATGATAGGGAAATTGAAAATGTATCTGTGTAGTTTCTCAGTAATCCGGGTCATAGTCTTTAGAGCTAAAGAACATGATGATTGGACTTCCTTAAGTTTAACGAACTCCAGTCACCTTCTTTTTAAGATTCTAACACTACTGAAAAAGAGCAAGGAGTCCTTGAGGAGCTTTAGAATAAAGAGAGTGAGACGTTTACCGCCACCATCTGTGGTGTATGTGATTACACACATCTACACTCACGCTTAGTTGCAGAATGCTGAACTAACCTATCAAATCAACATTACAAGCGGGTTTTAGTAGTGTCATGATGTATATCTGCACAAAGCAAAATCACAGGATTGTTTCCAGTATCTGTGTTGTAGATGGCATGGGGATTGGTGGCAGATATGAGAATGCAAGGCAGGGCTTTTTGCTAGGCTAGTGAAAACAGCAACACAAACTCCTGGTGCCAAGCATTTTCCTCTTCTTAACACTAAATGTCTTGCCTGGAGCTACAAATTGCTAAACACAACCATACTCATATGCTCACGAATGCTGTGTATTGTGACTATAACAAATCATGAATTTGTTTTGGAGTTTTTTTTTTTAACACAAAAAAGAACTTTATATGCTGTACTATTACAAACTTTCTTAGAATTGAGGTGTTTACCTTTGCAGCCTTTTACAAAATAGTGAATGACCCCTGTGTCACAGATTGGTGAACTTGTGTGTCAGTGAAGCTTGTTGTACAACATGGTTTGAGTGCTCTATTAGGGTAGAAAGCATGCACACTGAGGCATACTATCTTTTTGCTGTTTGCAGATAAAAAGTATCAGCAAAATGTGCTAGCCTGTCACATCATTTCTTTCACTTTGATAGCTTGATAACTGTCATTTCCATTAAATGATGTGGCCTCCTTTAATTTCCAACATATTATCTATTGTGATTTTCTTCCCGGTGAGTTCTGATGTGTTTTCAAACTGTTTCTTTAATCTTTTGAGCAGTGTATCTATTTCCTGTCAAATTTATTTAACTGCTCAGATAAGCAGCAGAGGCTGGTAGCATCAATGATTCCCTGGTTTCAATCCTATCTGTCTGAGAAAAACAGCTAGCAGCATTATCACTGAACAAAAGACTTTATGGTAAAACATGATGACTAACAACGTTTTACTTTCGGTTTTTATAATACTTGCCCTTTGAGCTTGCAGTTAGGAACAGGATATGAACAATAGAACACAAAAGTGTGGATAATTTCTGTGTTGCACCACTTCCTCCAGTGTCTTCTTTTCTTTTTTTTCACCACTTCCTCAAATGTCTAAAGAGAAAGAGAGCACATGGTGTGGTTGTGAGAGCATGCCTGTCATGACAGACCATTAGGGCTGATCTCTTTGCATACGTATTTGCTTTTTCAGATCCCTATGCCCATCTTACCACCATGGTTTTACACTCAGATTTTCAATTGCTTATTTAAACAAAACTGAGAAGTTGTTTATGAGACCTTCCCTAGTGGTAAGGGAACTTTATGAAATGCCTTTCATGTTTTTATTTAATACTACTGAATTTCAAAATGCTATATGTTGACATATTATAAAACTGTATCTGCATGTTGCTTTTTGTACATCCTCCCTTGATGCATATTTTCCCTTCACTCAAGGGCATGGCAGGACTGACTGCAGAGTACCAGCTGATGCATGTGGGTCTGGTGTGGGCAGAGTCGAGCTCAGGGAGGGTGGAAAGTCATCTGGAGGAGACAAGATGGGTCGGAACTGGGAGCAGTATAGGTGACCTTTTGCCCTTTGAAAGCCAGGAATTAACACTTACAATAAATAACTAAATAAATAATAATAACTAATTAAAATAACTCTGTCATATACACTATAGACACTATTGAAGCCACTACCACGATGGCGTTCAATGGAGGATCCTACTCCCTCAAACAAGTTTCCATGATGATCAAACCAGCATAAAAGGGTTATATTCTGAACATGTGCAAACAGAAAAAGATGATGTATGATGGATGAAGTGTAGAGAGACTGAAACAAACTTTTTGTGTCTGTGTTTATTAAAAACATAAAAACTATGACATGTACATCGACTGTGAATAACTGGATGATCACTAAAATGGATTAGGTTGACAAATCTTCTCTCTGTGGTGCATTTTTGTGCTAGAATTTGTATTTCTCTGTAATCTCACATAACTTCTTTCTTTGTAGAAATTAGGCACTTTGTGAAAGAACCGAGTGAAGAATGGCACAAAACATAGGAGGAGGGGCATCACTAAGCTACCGTTACTTCACAAAGCGCTTGCTCTGGATGTGGTTTTGCATTTCGGGTTTCACAGTGTTTCGTGTACACAAGAGCATTGAATTTCCTCTATGTTTTCTTTCTGCGTGTGATACTGCCAGCCTGTCAGGCGGACATCATATCTCCTGCATTGACCTGATATTCATGTAACCTGGGTCCTTAAGCTGGACATCGTCTGGACGATCCTGAAACAATGCTCACTTCCTTCCATCTCATTATTCCTCCTGCATGCTGTTCAAGCATGCTGTCTGTGAGGATACTTAGCTTCTTCCTACTCATCTTTTCACTGTGTGGTGAGTAATAATGATGCTCGTTAAGTACAAAGGGATTTTCCTTAACTCTGTATCTATCTGAAAAGTTGATTATTTTATTGAGTTGAGAGGAGTAAAACCTTTTAGTTAACTTTGAGTTTCTTTTTGGCCTAACTTTCGGTATCTTGACATGTTACCAGTGGTGGTAACTGCACAAAAAAGCAAACTAAAACTAGTAATTTCTATATGTGTTTTTTTTTTCTAAATAAAATACCCATTTTAATGAGGTACTAATGGAATTCGAAGGATTATCAATGTAACCTCTGACTTTTAAAAGAATAAATGAAAACCCATTTTAAGTGGGAGAGGTGAACGTTACTTCTGGTACAAAGTTCCGTTTTCATCAAACTGAAAGAGCGTGGGCCATATTGAACTAAACAGTCTCATGAAAAATGAAGCTTTCTCAGGACACTTTGCAGTCTTGTGAAAGACTAATTATACCCCATCATTCAGTAGCTTTTAAAAAACATTTAGCAGCAATGACTTGCAGTAACCACTTTCTTTACAATGTTATCAGTTTCTCACATAGTTGTGGGTAATGTTGTGTGTGCGTGTGTGTGTGTGTGTGTGTGTGTGTGTGTGTAGTGAGGTGGTCAGAGATGTTATAATTAAGCTGCGACCACGCCACCTAGTGGAATTTCACCCCTAGGAAATATACAGAGTGTTTTCAAACATCCTAACCAAAAGACTACACTGGTTTGAAAGTGCACTACTTAAGCAGGTTGTTTCCAATATTGAAAATACCTTTAATACATTTGTTAAAAACAAATTATAATTCCAGTCTGGTTCACAATATAAATTGACTGTGACACAACCTATCATAACTAAAAAGTATTCCAGGCAAACAATATGAAAACATTACACACACACACACACACACACACACACACACACACACACACACACACACACATTTAAGACAAAGAAAATAAAAAGTACACACGTCAAATAGTAAGTTAGATTCCACAGGTGAACCGTCACCTGCGCTGCTGATGGTCATTATAACAATTCATCCTAGTGCAAACACTCCAAAAAGGAATGCCCATATGGTGCTCTCTGTGGCGATTGGAGCGATTCACTAAATGAGCCAATATAAATACCATATGCAGGTAAACACCAGCAAGACACAGGGCATGAAATCCCTCAAGTCCTAGAAATAAAACAATGGCTTTAGCATCTAGTTTTATAATTTGCGGTCAACAGGAATAACTCGCCAGATGTCTCTTACCCCAGAATTAGAAGGACACTATATCCAACTACCCATAGTAATGCAACTGCCCTCTCTGCAATAATTAAATCGATCACTCTGCAAACATAGCCACAAAGAAGCCACCACACTGCTCATTATACCAATAAATTTGATAAGATAGAGGATGACAAGCATACAGCCTAGTAACTGTTGTAGAGCCTGATCAAAATTGCCTGCATCCCTCCAAAAATGATGATGAGTACAAAAAATGTTGAATACAGCCTTGTACTTATGAACATTTTTGTTTATTTGCTGAAGTGCTTGGGATATTTGTCCTGTTGCATGATCCAATTTCTATCATGATCTTAAACATCTAACATGCTGAGTGAGGCTTTGTAGAGTCTGACGTGCAGCTCTTTTTTATTGGACTTTATCTGAGCATTGTACAGTCTGACTTTGGGTTGAATTTGCTTGATGGTCGATGTTTACTCTACATCTAATATTCTTGTGGATTATTTAGATAATACTGCTGACCTATTTCTTATTTTATACCAAATCCTCGCTAACTGTGAATATGTTTGCTTGTGAATAGCAGTTTCTTCTTCTTTTGAGCATGCGATTTAATGAAAAAAAAAAACGCTTAAACTGAAACAGGCTAGACACAGTCACATACCGTAACTGAAAATGTTTCTATGTGAATAGCAGGTTGCCCTTTAACACTGACACCTTCTGAAATGGTTGTGAGATTTGGAGATCCAGTTTCAATCAACTGCAGCACATCAGCCACAGATGTTGAAGGAATGGGCTGGGAGTCTCCATTTGGAGGTACAGGATTTGAGTCTCCTCCTGTTGTCACTTGGAGGGTTGACAAAGTGGAAGAGTGGACTCCAAGTCCTTTTTGCTATGTTACTCTAAATGATGGATCCCAGTGTTCTGTGAGTTCAGTCATCACTGTTTACAGTAAGTACATGTGCACACACTGTTTTATTGTGTTATAAACTATATGAATTGAAATTTGTAATATAATATATCAACAATATGACTTTTTTATTTACAGAAACTCCAGATTCTGTGTCAGTGTCTGACATGGGTCCTAGTCTGATGGTGGAGGGCAGAGAATATGATCTGAAATGTGATGTCATCAGTGTTGCTCCTGTACAGAATCTCACCGTGACGTGGTACAGAGGCAATGAAACTGTGCTCACAGAGATGTTTAATGACTCCACTATGACTCCAGTAAACGCATTTTCTACCCTGAGAATCTCCACTCAGAGAGATTATAATGGATTAACTTTTAGATGTGAGGCTGAGCTGCACCTCGGACCCAAAGGACCAAAGTTCCTCCCTAATGTAGCCTCACCTCCTTACACTGCTGTTGTTCTTTGTAAGATTCCCAACTACTTACTTCATATTTTTGATCTACTCCACAGCTCTGTGATCTATGAAATATAAATGTATCTATTTTGATTTTAATTCCCAGATAAACCATTCATGGAATCTTGTCCAGACAACGTCACTGTTATTGAAAATGCTGCCTTCAGCATTGACATGTTATCCTGTCAGCCTGATGGGAACCCTCCTCCCACTGTTCAGTGGTTCTATGGGGAGAAACTCATCAATCCATCGAGGTCACTGACCAGGACTGACTCAGGAAAGTACACGGCTGTTGTTGAAAACAGTCTTGGCAGAAGCAACACTTCAGTTAATATCACAGTGGAATGTGAGTGCATCAGACCTGGATCATTTTATATTTTAGCCGAATAATGATAAAACACACTAAAGTATTGACAAGATAATATTTTGTTTTCAGTTATTTATTTATTTATTTAAATGAATTTGATACCATTTTTACAGACGGTCCTTCTTTCACCTGCAAAGAGCACTATGAGATCACAGTGAATGATAAACCTCAGAGTATCTGTGAACCAGTAGGATTACCTACACCCACCCTCACCTGGTTTAAAGATGGCAAACAGGTGGTTTCCCCACAGCATTGGAAAAAGAATAATAGTGGAAAATACTCGCTTAATGCACACAACACACATGGAACAGCTGAACACACACTGTATCTTGACATTTTGTGTAAGTTTTAAATTTTCAGAATTATATTGTCTTTTTATGATTTCTCCACAGTGAAAATATATCATTTGAGATGATAGCATATTTTGAAGGACATTATTTCTGTTTCAAAATTTGGTATTTTTTCCAGATGCCCCTGAATTCAAAGAAGGAAATGAAAGCAAGGAGGTGCTGCAGGGTGAGAATGTTACTTTAAGCTGTAGTGCTGACAGTAACCCACCTTCAAACATCACCTGGATCTACACAGCTGCTGTGAATTCAAACGTGACCACTGAGGGGCGCCCGAAGACTATCACTATCACAAGAGCTACATCTACCAATGCTGGTTTTTACATTTGTGTTGCAGAGAATACAGTTGGGAGAAATAAAAGATTCATCACACTGATGATAACAGGTATGATTATTGACTCAGTGCAGAAGAGCTATGGGAATGTAGAAAGTGAAAGATTACTGATGTTCAATTTCAACAATGCATGGAATTGAAAAATTAAATTAATCTTATGTTTTGAATTTTGTTTCTCTTACAGGTAAAAGCAGTCAAATCCCATTTCCAATCATTTGGGCGTCGCTCATTCTATTGATCATCATTCTGATTCTTCTTGTGGTCTGTTGTCGCATTTGCCAAAAAAAACGTGGACATTACAGTTTTTTTCCTGTCAAAGTGTCAAATGTCTCAAATATCCCTTTGATTACTGTACAAGCCAATGGAAAAGCTTAGGATTTTTAACGAATTCTGTTCTGCATATCAAATGTTGCCCCCTGGCCTGGTGGGTTTCAGGTAGGGAGGTGATCCAAAATCCTGCAACTGTTTATTAAAATACAGAAGAATGGATCATGAGCTTGTTTACAGCTTTAATCGCAGGATTTATTCTACTTCCTTAAACAAAGAGAGACAAACTCAATCTCTTTCTATGATGACCAGCATCTCTTTGAAAGGTACGGAACGACAGATGTTAATACATTGCCAAGAAGTGCATGAATAACCCTAGTATCATTACATGAGAACTGAAGCACAATAGAGTGACTCATGTCCATGAATGTTCTTCTTTAGTTGTACTTGAACTACACAGTGACCATTGTAACAATAGCTCAACATTTGTTCACATTAACCATTGTAAACCAGTATTTGTTCAGGTTACCCAAATATATCTCTTGCATCACCAAATACAATATATTATAAGCTCAAAGCAACCAACTAGTAAATAAACCTCAATACAAAGCCTATTGATTAAACATTTGTAGGCCTACATTACTTTTTGCATCCCCTCTTATCTCAAAAACACATTAAAATTTAAAGTCCAATTAATTTATTGTCACAAATACAATTTGTGTTTCTTTAGCATAGCTAATGCACTTGAAGCACACTTTGCCTGCTAGCAAAAGGTCTGTTGGCCTATGACGATATAGAAGTGACAATCTCACTTTAAGAATTGTACTTCCACATTTCTCATTTTCCAGAGTTATATTTTACTTTAACAGGTTCACAACAGTCTTATTATTTCTGCTGTGTTACATACAAGCCATTTTAAGGACTATTAACCAAACCTGTATATTAAAATGTTTATTCAGAAACACTTGTTGTGTACTCTATTTGGAACAAAATCTTATTTTTTATTTTGCTGTCTTTTTCTTTCTCCTCACAAGGCAGCTTCTTTTTAGTCTTGAAATATGAGTTGTGTACATTGTTCGGCCATATCATGTCACTGGATTTAAACACAATATCCTATTTTCATGCATCAGAACTTAATTATGGATCCTTAATGATTTGATTCAAAAAGGTGGGTGTCTCCCAGTATTAGACAGAGTGTAAAGTGATGATTTCCTTAGGTTTTATTTTCAGTTAATTCAAAATAAATACTTACATAAACAAGATGAGGATATGGGTTTTCTTTTTCCTTTTAAAGGCCTTTAACAAGTCATTACAGGTGAATTGTGACCAAACAGACTATTTTACAATGACCAATACATGCCAGTAGTTCAGCGGTTTCTCAGACAGTGAAGGATAAAGAACTATGTTTTAGTTGATATCCATTATGCTAAAGGAGCATAATGTTTGCTTAAGTCCGAGCCTTGGGTTTTGATTATCACGTAAGAGGAACCTTGAATAACAAAGACTCTCATTAGTAAATCTAAAAATAATTTATTTGCAACAATAAAACATTTGAAAAACTTTATTAAGCATTAAAAATCACAAGAAAAAGCAAAACCCAAATTTATGGGTCTCAGGCAATTGACTGAGCAAAAAGTCTTTATACTCAAAGGCTCCCTAACACAAAGCTTAAAGTGCAATCAAAATCCACTGATCAGGTCCACAAGAAATTTGGAGGATCAGATCCCTCCCGACTTGGAATGCACTAACCTGTGTTTTTCAATCTATAGCGTGCTGGTCGCTGATCCCCTGTGCAAAGGATGAACAACCGGCAGTCATTTGCTCCGAATTACCAAATTTGGATTTAACTTCCTTATAAGAACATTAATAGTTGAGCACAGATCTTAGCTCTATCCGCAACCGATTCTCTCGTAGTTCCGCTCGTTTTGCACTTCTGTATTTCTCCGTCTCTAGCAGTTCCAGTCGTTCACCTCACAAGGCTGGACGAGAACCTCCCCACCTCTCCTCCTGCCCCACAGCAAGGTCTCTCTGCACCGTGTCTCTGTCCTTCCCACCAGACCACTTCATTGGTCCCTTCCTGGTGGCTCCCTGTCCTGATTGGCTGACGACAGTGTCCTTCAAGGACATGAACTCGCTCAGCTGTAAGCAAAACACGACTTTTACAACAAAAACATGCATCGAGAAAGAATACAGCCACCGATTAAAATCACAGCCCATGCAATATAAAACCCAAGCGAAGCACGGACTCAGAATTCCCGGAGCTTGTATCTCGAGGAATATTTTTTATACACCAGATTAAAGAAGTACACTATCAATGCAGAAGTATAACTTTGACCAGTGCAGGCTATCAAGATGCGACACAGACTAGTAGTATTTTCGCTTGATGCGGATGCGAAAACTAGTTTGTTCCTGTTTTTGTCACAATGTAAAATTTTTTTGGAAGAACAAGAAATGCCTGACTGGCAGCCAGTGTTAAATGTCGGATCATGGTGTTGATTTCGTGTTTGAACTGAAGAAAGAAACGCCGGAGCACGTTTACATCATGCTGAGATTATACTCCCTTGGGACGTCCTCCAAGCTGTTGGGATAACTTTGGAGAGGTTTTTTTTCTTTCTTTTTTTGTGTGAGCGAAATAATCTGAAAGTTTGGCCAAATAAGTGACCGTTGATTTGGGCACAGGGCTTTGGGTGAGTCTATCATCTGCCTCGTTTGTATGTATGATAATGTTAGTGTCATTAACATACATTTTCTGCAAGGTGAGGAAAGAAGTGAGAAGCTAATGGTCACGATATGAAAAGTGAAACCAACTTAAAAGTGCCTTAAAGTAGTAACCTAATATAGTTTTGTTAGTACTGTTTAATGCCCGACACCATTGGAGGACAGCTGGGACAGGACCATTCCGAATGTAGATGAGTACATCGCCTAACATTTACGTATTGTATTGCTACTTTATGCTTTTACTTTAATATATTTTGAATGCAGACATTATACTCTGTACTCTTTAACATATAGTTTAAAGTTTTAGTTTCTTAGTATTTTGTACATTACTGAATATCAAGCTAAAATCAAATAACATTTACCACACAGAGGGAAGACTGGGAGAACAAATAACTAGTACTAACAGAATATAGAACAGAAGAGGAACAGAATACCAATGAAAAAGAATGAAACTTACACAGTAAACAACAGTAGGAACCAGAAAACCTGAAAAAAGAATAGAAATCAGAACCCAGACAAAAAACACAACTGCTAAATTTCAAAAACTCTTAATATTAGACGATCATGGCAAACTCTGGCACCATTAAGGTAGTTCAGTAAAGTTCTAACTTGAGTAAAAAGTCAAATGAATTTTTTGTCTACTTTGCAAAAGTTATCCAAGACAAAAACTGTTCACAGTTAATGCCCAAAAAACCTCCAAAAACAGTCTTTTCTGTTCATTCTTTTAATAATATAGATCTTGTTTAAATTTTACAACTATAATTCCAAACAGATGAATTAACTCTGCCAGGGCGGCCATTTATTAACCATTCTATTTGTAATTTTTATGGACAGAGCTATGCACAGCCAAAGGTCCAAGGGTGTCAAGTTCAGTGGTGTTATGGAAATCTGAAAAAAACTGATCTACACAAACAGCTTGTCTTTGTGAGGTTTTAATTTGTCTTTGCAAAGGGGTCAAACAACAGTACAGAGTATAACAGCAGTCTGCATGGCTTTTGACAAAGAATGACAACAAGCATAGGACCATAGAAATGCATTATCTACCCATCATGGTCACAGATTACAGTCAGAACATTCCATTCAAAAGATAACTTGCACAGACGAATATATCTATAAGATAAAAACATGATGTGGAGCCTTCCAGTCAGCCAAATCAACTTAAAACAGAAAAAATCAGAATCCTAAAATTCTCTATCATGTTTCACATAAAAATCCAGCAATGTACAAACTAGGGGATCTTTGTGTGTCATAGTGAAAGTGAAAGTTTTGAGCATCTCAACATGTCACTCCTCATACAAGAAGAGCATGTGTGGGTATTAGCTATACTTAAATTAAAACATTGTTTCTAAATCTGCCCTTGCAGCACTGTTGCTCAAAGTCACCATCTGCTGTCATAGAAATATGTGAGGTGCAGCAGATGAAGTTTCAGTCAACTATAACTAACCTGGTGTGTGTGCTGTACATTTTCTTTCCTCCTCCAAAAGTAGGTCATTTGTGTTACCAGTGGTTAGTTTCCACTGGTAGGACCATAAGTACTGACTTGGCAGCAGGCAGAAAGCAAAAAATGCACACTTAAAGTTAAATTTGCATTAATTCATTATTACATGTATTGTAAGTGTAAGTAACAAATTCTCTCACCCCTTGTCCTAACAGAGTGTACATAGCATCCACCACCACAATCAACTTCAAGCATTAGCTCAGTCAAAGTAGCTGCACGTCTCTCATGTGGAGCATGTGATTCATCCATATCAACAAAAGCAACACAGGAGTGTGTGCAAAGTGTTATCAAGACTTCATGACAGGCTTGGTGGCTGCATCAGTCTTTTATAGAATCTGTGTTAACACCAGAGGTCCTCTGGCAAGGAGTAAATGCGTAGAAACTCTCTTGTGTTTGCAGAACTTTGCGTTCACAGTTAGTGCCCTGTGTTTTCCCAGTTTTTTCTTTAACATTTAGTAGTTGAAACAAAGAGTGTTTTTCACATTACTAACATGTTGCTTTTGTGGAAAGGGAAGCTTTTTAAAGTTAATCCTGGACACATTTTTCAATGTTTAGATTTTGTCTGAATCTTGAGCTTTACAATTATTTTCTCTTCCATGTGTCTTACATATAGATGTAAACGACCTAATTAAAAAAAAAACCTAAAAAACATATTGTATTATAGCTACTATTATTTAAAAAGATAAGTTGGACAAATATTTGCCCACTATTGATGACATGGATGACTGTACTTGTCATAGTTGTAATTGGAAATTTATTCAGCCAGATTTTTAAGTTTTTAGACAATGATAAATGTTGTAAAAATGTGATTGTAGGATAATCAATTAAGACGAGCTGTAAAGATAACTTTGAATCCTGTACTGCAGGATATCTAATGCAAATCCTGAAACTGAACTTCTGCTGGACAATCCTGAAACAGGCTTCACCTCCTCCATCCATCTGCTTCATCCTGTATGCTGACTAAACATGCTGCTTGTCTGGATGCTGGGCTTCCTCATGCTCATCTTTTCAGTGTGTGGTGAGTGCTTAAGAGCTCTATGTGTCATAAACTGGCTGTGTAATGCTGGTGGGAAAGGACAAAAATGCAGACTCATAGGCTGGACATTAACTCAAAACACAGCTTTTTTTTTAGCTGAATAAAAAATAATACAGAACTACACTGGGAAATTATGAGAATTAAACACACAGGGAAGCACATGGAAAAACACACAACCATGAGGGAAAATGCGACACTGGACAGAGGGAAACAGAGGGCTTAAATACACAATACAATGATGAGGGAACAGAAAACATGTTGAAAACACAGCTGAGACAAATTCGAAATGGCAAGCAAAACTAAACAGACTGAAGTCAAAGGAGCTTGCAAAGAAAAGCGTCTGGACTTCTTTAAGTTACTTGAAGACGTTTCACCTCTCATCCGAGAGGCTTCTTCAGTTCTAAGGTC